TAGATTTTGCGCAATAATTTACAATTACAATGAAATCCTATGTTTTCTTATACATAAAAACTCCATGACTTTCAGTAAACGTTACACTTTTGATAAGTTTTAACAGTAATTGAATTGTGGATTTATAATATAAATTTTATATTGTGTTTTTTTTAATCAAAAGTGTATTTTTCAATTATTATAATTAATTAAAATACCATAATGCGAGAAGAACCTAAAATAACTAAAAAGTCACCATGGGACCAGGCCAATTTTATTCAGAAAATGTTTCTATCGTATGTATTCGTTGGGCATAAATGAGATAATTATGTTTACGGATATAATTATTTTGTTATTTATATATTTAAAACACGATTAATTACTTTGTATTTATACTACTAGACCATGCTAGATTGCGAATGCGTGAGCGCGTGGCTCAGTGGTAGAGGGGACGACTCGGACCCCGAGGTATGGCGGCTGCGGAGCCCCCAGCAAAGGATGACTTACATCTCGCACGTATGTACAGTCAGAATATCTATGTTGTCAACTACTGTAGATTGAGCACATGGTAAAGGAACCCAAACTAAAATAGATACTCCATAAATTTCATGCTAAAATTATTTCTAATCTGTGAACAAACATGGTTGTTCCAAACGTCTGGAACCATTTAGATTCAAACGTATATTATACTATCATTTTAAAACTTAGACGTAATTCGTGAGAAGTAAATCACCATAGTAATTTATAAAACACAGATCACAACGAACATATAGCGTATAAATTACATTTTTTAATTTACCTCAATAAAATATTATGTGTTTAGATTAAATTTGTTCGGGGAAAGTTGGGGGGGGGGCTAAGCACAACTCCCATCAACTGAGGGATTAATGCCGGGATAGAGCCCACTACTACTGGGTCTGTGTCCCTTCACGGACCCGCTCTACCATACGCTATACAGTATGAATTAGAGTTGAGCCAAAAAATTGTTATATTTATAAAATTAATTTTAGTTCGTTAAACAAAATTCTTATTATATTATTAACTTTGATACTTTTAAAAATAAAATGTATGCTAAAATACTTGATCCATTAAATGTTTATTTAATCATGATAATTGCCACCAAAACGCAGATTTATGTGCAGAGTGTTCTACACGGGATATCGTAATAATGGACTTAATATTGAGGACATGTATCGGTGCCCCCGAGACGATGAGTCGGCCCGTATTGTTCAAAACCTGGAGAGGTATGTACGGGAGTGTAGGGTTGGGGCGACAGTGAAGCGAGAGTTATGTATTAATACTAAATAATTGTTTAATTTGTCAGGAATTGGATTCTCGAGCGTCGAAAACGGTGTCCAAAATTTTGGAAATCTTTGTATCGGACGTACTTTAAATATTATTGGTTGGCACTCACTGTATATACATTTGAGGTTGGTTATATTATTTATATTAAATTCGATATTTATATCATTATAACTCAAATCTATGTTATTTATAGGAATGTGTGATACGTATCGGACAACCAATGCTATTGGGTATTGTGATTGACTTTTTCAGCGACACCGGGAATATCACGTATATGCAGGCGTGTCTGGCCGCCGGTGGTGTGTGCCTGTGCTCAGCCCTATTGACCACTATCCATCACCCTGCACTTTTTATGCTGTTTCGTATGGCATTGAAAATGAGAATCGCCTCTTGTACCCTCATGTATAAGAAGGTAAAATGATTGTTGTTTTTATTTCCATTAGTTATTCGTGATTAATAAGTATATATTAATAAATACATTCATTTATAATTATTTAGTCTCTAAAACTGAGCCGGGCAGCGGTGGCCGAAACAACTGTGGGTCAAATTGTGAACCTAATGTCCAACGATGTAAATCGTTTTTCTATGGTATAGTTTACGCTCAATTTCTACATTTATAATTTTTATATATTTAAAAAATAATATGTTTTAATATTAATCATTATATTTTGTTTAAATAGTTCACATTTTCGGCGTGTTATTTGATTATAGGACCGATACAGACAGCGGTCGCCATATATATAATGTACGGTTATGTGAGTTACTATTGTTTCGTTGGCGTCGGACTATTGGCGCTATTAATACCGTTTCAGACATTTATGGGCAAACTTTTCTCTAAACTGAGGTAACAATCGGGCAATAAATACATAGCGTTAAAAATATCAAATTATAAATTTTTGTTAAAACTAAATTATTTGATATTTGAAATACAGATCACAAACGGCAAAGTTAACGGACAGTCGTTTGAAATTAATGAATGAAATAATCACTGGTATGCGAGTCATTAAGATGTATGCCTGGGAACAGTCATTCGCCCGACTCGTGGACACCGCCCGCAAGTATGTATTCATTTTTGTATTCATTTTAAAACTACTGTATTATTAAACTTTAAACTGTAATGTTAAAATTGGACTTATAAATTTTTCTCATTTTAAATTAATAAATGTTTTGTTCCGTACCAATTTCTCTTTCAAAATTTTTACATTGTAATAGATATGTATTGTATTAATTTATATTAAATATTATAATTTATTTTACATTGTTGTATATATAGGAGCGAGGTGGGTAGTATTCGGTTAGGATGCTTCCTAAAGGCGATCAATTTGTCCATTTATTACGCGGCCTCACATATAATACTATTCGCTGTATTCATAACATACGTACTGACGGGTAATGTATTGACAGCCAAAGCGGTGTTTGTGTCGATGTCTTTGTTCAGTACTTTGCGGACAACAATGACATTACAATTTCCTGATGCCATTCGAACCACCGCTGAACTACTGGTCTCCTGTCAGCGCATACAAGTAGTGTTGACACATGTTATGGTTTTTGTATTTATAATTAAACTATTTTTATTGTTTGTTTTTCAGACATTTCTAGAGTTGGAAGAAAGGGATGTAAATTCAGGCAATAATAATAATACTTTACCGAAAAGTGCGAAAAATGGTAAACAATTGTCTAAAGTTTCTGTTAAAAACATAACCGCCAAATGGAGTGATGTATGCATTTATATATTCATATTTGTCAATATTTAATAAATTAAAAATAACAATTAAATTATTATTTGTATTACAGGAAAGTCCGTTTCCAACCCTAATGAATATATCGTTTAATTTAAATCCGGGGGACCTCTTGGTTGTGATCGGACCGGTGGGCGCCGGAAAGGTATACAACCTATTATAACTAAACCACAGAATATAGTCACTTTTATTATTTGAACGTGGTTATTGTTTAACCTTGGTAATATTTCATATATTACTCACAATAAATGTGAATATTGTATGAATAATGTGTATAATTTAGTATAGCGTTTGCCCCTAATTAGTATCTTGGAATTCTGTGATTATAACTTAAAATTAATGTAAAGTTAAACTAATATTTTATTTCATTTTAGAGCTCACTATTGATGACAATTCTGAAAGAACTGCCGCTTCTGTCGGGGAGTATAGAAATTGTAGGATCGATAAGCTATTCCTGTCAGGAGTCCTGGAGTTTCAATACTAGTGTTCAAAATAATATACTTTTTGGAGCCGAATATAATGAATCCCGATATAAGCGAGTGGTAGAGGTGTGCGCTTTGGAGCGAGACTTCGAGTTATTCCCGTTCGGAGACAAGACATTAGTCGGTGAGAGAGGAGTACAACTGTCGGGGGGACAGAAGGCCCGCATCACGTTAGCCAGGTTTGTGTATTGCATTTAAAACTATAAAATATTATTTATGGTCCGTTTTATTTTTATTTAATGTCATAAAATAAGTTTTTATTTTAAATGAAAAATATAAAAATAAGGGCTCCTCCGTTACATCCCATTTGAAATGTATCACTAAAACAATCCATAATCTTTGCCCACTTTAATACAAAATTGCAGTTTCAAAAATAGTAAAATTCATAATTTATGTTTAAACTCTTATTGATAATAAAATTAAATCTAGCAATAAGTGGTGTTGTTCAAAACTACTATAGTTTTAAATTAATTGACATAAATTTATCAAAATTATTTAATTAATTGAGTTATACTAATAATTATTTATAATTTGTGTCTTATGTAGAGCTCTGTACCGGAACTCAGACATCGTATTAATGGACGACCCGTTGAGTGCTGTCGACACTAGTGTTGCCGAACATATATTTGATAAGTAATGCAATGATTGTTATAATTATGATTACAAATAAGTCTAACATATAATGTATTCGCGATATAATGAACACCAGATGTATAGTCGACTACTTGTGCGACAAAATCCGTATTCTAGTCACACATCAAATCCAATTCATACGAAAAGCGACACAAATATTGGTTTTGAACGACGANAAATATTGGTTTTGAACGACGAGGGAAAGTGTCTGGGATTGGGATCCTATGATGAGCTCCAGTCCCGGGGCTTAGACTTCATGTCTATTCTCAGCGATCAGGAGAAGGAAGCGGACGATAAAACAGCCGTAAAGGACAGGGAGGACAGCGAACCAATAGTAGGGGTCGTATCCGTGGATAAGGAGTCCGACAGCGAGGAGTCGACTGAAGAGTCCAAAGAGAAGGAACCGATGATTGAACCAAAAATACGCGACGAAAACCGAGAGATCGGATCGATTGAGGGTCGGGTGTATTGGATGTACGCGAAGGCCGGCGCCGGACCACTAATGCTTATCATTGCTATAACTGCCGCAGTGTTATCGCAGGTTATATTAAACTCGTCCGAAATATTTTTGTCGAAATGGTATTTATATTAAATGTTTTTCGTTAATTAAGAATGATTTTATTATAAAATTATTTAATATTTACTTATTTAATCAATTAATTATTTTTAATGGTATACAGGACTGAAAAATACCAGAATAAGACATCCGAACAAATTGACCATGATCAACAGAATATGGATGTTATAATCTATTCATCACTAATCGCAGCCCTATTTGTGACGGCACTAATCCGAGTGATCACGTGGTTTATGATGTGTATGCGGGCATCGGTTAGACTTCATAATAGTATATTCTATAGTTTATTACGGACTCCCATATCATTCTTTGACAGCAATCCCGTCGGTAATTAATGTCAATATTTAGATTAATATTTTTAAGTTGCATTTTATGATGGTGATTTAAAATAACCATGTACCATTCATTTCTACACTTAGGTCGTATATTGAACAGATTCTCTAAAGACATGGGCGGTGTTGATGAGAGACTGCCCTCAAATGGATATGAATTAAATATGGTAACTATTAATAACATAATATAACTGTTAAATAATATGCAAACTTAATCATTTATATCAACCTTTAGGCAATAACTCAGGCCATTGGTATCGCTGTGAACGTGTCAATTGTGAAACCCTATCTAATAATACCGGCAGTCATTTTAACCATCGTTAGTCTATTTGTGAGAATTGTGTACATTAAGTCAGCGAGAGATCTACGTAGACTGGAGGGTGTGGGTGAGTTATTTGCATACATTATAACAAAACAAAATGGTTAATTAAACTAATTTTTCTACCAATTAGCGAGAAGTCCAGTGTTTACTCACATAAGTACAACACTGAATGGGTTGGCCAGTGTCCGGGCCTTTGGAGCGCAGGCAGAGTTTGAAAATCAGTTTAATGTCTACCAGGATGACACTACCGGCACGTGGTTTATGTTCTTAGGCACAGCCCGTGTATTGGCTATGTTTATGGAGTGGATTAGTATATTGTATATAGTGGTGGTTAGTGTAGTATTAATGGTGTTTTATGAGGGTATTGGTGGTGGAAGTGCTGGACTGGCCCTGTCTTCAGGTAATACTTATTTTAATTACAATAATGAGTGTTATATTAATGATTGTTGTGTTTTGTATGTTAGCTATTATGTTGACGGGAATCGCTCAGAGAGGGGTTCGACAGTCGGCAGAGTTGGAGACTCAGATGACTTCAGTTGAGCGCATTATTGAATACTCAAAACTACCACAAGAGGCGGCCCTCAACTCCGATGACGATCGCAAACCCCCACCTGATTGGCCACAAAAGGGACGGATAGAGCTCAAGGATATGAGTCTATACTACGAGGGATCAGACAAACCGGTGCTCAAGAACTTGAATTGTGTTATAAAGAGTGGAGAGAAGATAGGGATCTGTGGGCGGACGGGCGCCGGCAAGTCGTCCATCATATCAGCGCTGTTTCGTATGG